TAAGTAAAGAAGACAAAAGAAGACATGAAGCTAGGTCACCAGGTCCACATTACAAATACGGACATAATACGTAGATCATCGCAAAACAACCTAGATAGAGTTGAAATATAGGGTGGGCCTTGGGCCCATCTAACAATTTTAAAAAATCTCCAAGGGCTCATGTGGGTTATATGACAATGGATGTGGTGAAAATTTTAGTCTCATAACGCTAGTTGAAGAGAAGTTGGACCTTCTTATAAGAGATTCTCTTCCACATGCTATTGGATCTTAAGAAGAGAAGTGGTTCCTACGTGCTCCTTCTTCGCCGCAACAGATCGCATCTGCCTCCACGCGCACCCGTCCCACTGTTCCTTCCTTTGGTTTGCTACCATCAGTGATCCCATTCTGTCCACCACGTACACGGTTGACGGGAGCGTCATCTTCATCGTCGGCATGTCCACCGCCAACGACACTGACCATCTCGCCGCAGAGGAGACCACCAATGTTGCCGCGGCGGCGGCGGTTTTTGTCTGACCTATTGGAGTGTATAACTCGTTTACCCCACTCATGTTTATTTATGTGTCTATTGTTTACATAGTTCAAAATGTGCTTATCTGGATCGTAATCAACAAGTTATTAATTCTTTCAATGTCATGCTCATGATTTATTCATGGATTACATTAATCAAAATATTGCTACTAATATACTCAACAGATAGCAGTAAATGAGCACTAAAGAGGCTGGGGAGATGAACAAACCATCAATGTTGGAGAATTAGCCTACGCCAGAAGTAATCCTAGGAGTCGTCGGAGCCCACCCATGTCTTTTGTTGTAGTCTTGTAAACCTCCGTCATAACATACTTGATCTTCATTGTCTCAAAAAAAAAACATACTTGATCTTCATGACTCCTTCAATGTTTTTTTATTTTTTGCCTTTGGCTTGTCTGTAAGAATTGTCCAGTTGGTGAGGTAATGACAAAAGTTGAAGATCATTTTTTTTAATCATAACATGCTGCATTTCTGATTCATGATTGGAATATAAATACCTACAAAGTTGAACATATTGCATCTTACTCGAGTCCGATGACAACAACATGTTTTTTTTACTGGACCACCTATTCCTCGGCTGACTGGTTTTTCTGTTTCGGCCGATTTTGAACCGGGATTGATATCCAACGGATGTCCTTCATTTTCAACCTCTCGATACACATTGTTCCTCTTCCTCCTTGCAACGACAATTCCTCTAGCCACAGCCCAATCGCCCCGCCTCCGGCGATTTCCTATCTAAGCCCTCGTCGGCGATCCGTCTCGAGCTCGGCAGCTATCTAATGCGAAAACAAAAAGGTCCCTCACCTTCGCCGGTCAACCCACATCCTTGCCTCCACCAACGAGGTCCTGGCGCGGCCTCATCTCACCCGCACGCTGTGGCCGGCGGCCTCGCCCCCATCTCGGCATCGGAGCGCCACACTATTCTATCTTCCCTGGAATCGACTGATCCAAATTCGTTTTATCAGCAACTAATAAATGGCAAGTGCATCTTTTTATAGGTCAACTTTACTACCGGAATTGTTGTTTGTATGCCAATCCATTGGCTTGGCGGGGCACCGGGCACGGCGACCGATAAAAAGAAGAGATCGAGGTCTTTCCAAGCAAAACTAAGCAGCATCTTTGCCCCCCAACTGCAGCAAACTCGGTCGCAGCGTACGCGTCTCCTCGATCGCGTAGTACACATGCGACGACATGCCGCCCGGTGCTACTCGCCTACGTCCTAGTGCAATTCATGCGTGTCATGTCGCCAGATCCACGAATGCCGGTGGTCCAATGTGCATGCGGTCGATCGCTTGGGTTAAGCTCCAAGCCAGGCTGCGCTTTTGCATGCCTGCATGCCCCGGCCCTTTCCTTCGTCCATTCGCATTATATATATGTACTTGGAGAAAACTTTAGCAAGTACTCCAACGTAGAATACTGCGCTGGCACACTGTATTGCACTTACTGCCATGGTTTAGCGAGGGTTCACGCTACGCGTTTGACATTTTGTGCGGGCATCGTTGATTGATCATTCCCTTACCTTCTCGGGAGACGATCGAGCTGGGTTACTTAGCTTTGGAAGGTTATGAAAAATGCTGGGTTAAATATTACTAGGCTTGATTAATCTAAAATGCAGGTAGAGTAATAAGTACTCTAGGTGCTAGCTAATGTGCTTTGTCATGTTCTTTTTTTTAACACAGTACAAACGCAGATGACGTGGGAACGATTCCGACAGTAGAAAGGGGTAGGATAAACGAGCGATCTATCAAGATGGAAACAGGTGAGGCAATGTTTTCAACGAGTTCAGGTCTCTTGCGGTGCCCTATGTCTCATGCTCAAGAGAGGCTTTCTTTTATCTCAGCATGAACAAGGAGTTACATGGAGTTTTAGAGAGAGTTGGAAGAATGAAAGCGAGGACCCTGAGCTATGTGGCGGGGTGGCTTATATAGAATGCGCCACCCCTCACCTCTTATGTTACAAAGTGGAGCATCAATGCCATTGTCCTTAATGTCGCCCATTAAGATAATAATCAATTGCTCCATTCATCAGTGATGGCGCTTCAGATGCCTTGTATGACTGTTGGCCTTCGCTTATCCGAGTGAGTCATACGACTGACTAATTGACGGTCATCCAAATGGATGGTATGTTGATTTGTCTGAGTGATGCTGGCCTGGATGTCGTCCGAGTAATGTTAACATAGATGTCATGTTTGGTAGTATGAAATTGATTCGGGCCCATCGGTCATATGGACCCTATGCCTTATGATATTTTTGACCCTCTATGTGCCTGCCTACCTGTTATGTGTATCCCCAACAACAAACACTCATACATATGCACATACACTCATCTCTATGAACGCACAGGCGCACACCCTCTCACTGTGAGCACCTCCAAGCGACTGAGCCGGCACATCATGTTGAGATTGACGAAGTAGCCATAGATGCATTCGTAGTCGACGAAAATGTCTCCTCCCACTGAAGGTATAAGTACTCTAGGGCTAATGTGCTTTGTCACGTTGCTAATTGCTACGACGATAGCTCTCTAACCTACCCTTCACGTCAAAATAGGGAGACAAAAGGGATGAAACAAATGTGACCAGTGAGGATCAGGAGGATGTACAAGACCTGTGTCAGAGTTTGGCACCAAAAAGAAATCCACATTCTGCAATTTTTTGTTTCTACAAGTTCTTTTATAGGCAAAGATAATTTGCATATCCCAAATTACCGCATAGTGTATATTTCGTCTCTCAACTAATTTTTGCGTAACCTTCACCCTAACTTATGAACACATGGTGGCTTTTGTGGAAGTAGTAAAATACGGTCAAGGTCATGGTTTTGGCAACGTAACGAACACATGTGGCGATCGATCCTACACGACATTGAACATTCTCCCCCCTCTCTCATCATCGCCTCTGCTTTCCTCTCTACTTTGCATGCCCATCACCTCCGTCTCTACCGCGCCTCCACTCGCCCCCCCCCCACTACTACCACTCGCTTCCCTGCTACCTTCCTCCCTCCCCCGCTCAGCAAGGAGGAAATGACTTGACCGGATATGTCGGGTAGAGGCATAGAGCGATGTGTCGAAGGCTAATCAGAGAGGGGCTTATGCACACTAAGCCATGGAGGAAGGATGCGAACATGGAGATGTAGTGGGTGACACCTGGATGCACGTTGATGGCACATGTATAACCTCGTTTATCGCATCATCGCTGCCTCAGAATAAACTGGTCGTGCAAAGGTATCACCCGTTTGAAGATCAAGGCGGTGGTACCAAAGATGGCTAGAGGCGAATGATCAAGGTGGTTGGGTTGCTTGTATAGTTGTACAAAGAGAAGGGGGAGGGGACAGAAAATGTTTTTTTTTGCGTAGTAGGGGGGAGAAAATGAGAAGAGTAAAACCAGCTTTCATGTGTAGAATACCGGTTCCACCCTGCCACAACGTGAAGTCAACACCAGTAATACCAGTGTCACGGACCAAATATATCCAATATTGTAAGTTTATGGTAAAAAAAATGGCAAAATTAGTTGAGAGGCGAAGCGAACACTATTTTGTTAAGTTTGAGGGGCGAATAGTATACTATTTGCAAAGTTGAGGGACGAAAAGTACACGTGTGGGAGTGTTTACTTACCATGGTGCATATGCTTGGAATGACAAGCTAGCTATCCGAAAAAGAAAAAGAAAAAACTAACTTAAGCATGCATGCATCCTTTGCTATCCATGTGAGGTGATCGATCGGGATCGGCGCCATTTTGTTCGTGCAGCTCTGGCTTAGCCAGCTTTGGTCACAATCGTCCTCGTGATGCATGCCGGCCCGGCCCAACGTACGTTCGCACTGCTTCGCCCATGATACGCGCACCGATCGCCATTGCTTATAAAAGGGGGAGAGCACGATGCATATCACAACCTAGCTAGACCCTCTCAAGTCCTCCACGCAGAGCATGATCGCTAACTAGAGTAGGCTAGTGCTCTGTTCTCGATCTGTACTCGTGTAGTAGCTTACTACTACCTTTTGCCTTCTGATTGTTCATCGGAGAATTAGCTTCAGTAAGCCCGTAACTGCTGTTTTGGCATTTTAATCAGTACCGCTTTTTTTAGCTGCTTCGCCGAACGTATGCCCATGTGAAGATCGAGCTAGCCTTCTTGCTAGCAATTGGTCTGCGGGATCCAAGGTAATTAGTACTCCTCACAAGCATGTCCATCCTGAACATGTTGCCTGTTCTTTCTTGGAGTAGTATGTTGCTTGTTCTTGTCTTAACCAGTGTGTCGCTTTGCTGAACTCCTACTGCATCCACTAAATCAGATGATGTTGCTGACCAATCAAGCAATTCAGCGCGCCTACGTACAGTAGCTTGCATGCTGTTTAAAGTAGCAGAGACTTTCATATTTGCATGCTAGCTAAGCAAGTCGGCAGCATAATTAAGTGAAGCCAGTAGCCGTGCAGTCTCAGTCTCGCAACTTCTTTTTCAAATCAGCAGGTTCCCGCCATCGATCGCCATGGGGATCACCCGCGCGCACATCGTCAAAAACGACTCCCTGGAGGACAGGCTGGGCGACTACGTCGGCGGCAAGCCCAGGCGCGCCTCGTTGGGGGCGGCGTCGAAGCACTCGTCGCGCCTCGTGGCGGCGCTCACCTGCCTCCAGCTCGCCTTCGCCATCTACGCCACCTTCCTGCTCTACTACATGAGCCCCGCCGTGGACCTCCGCGCCAAGCCCGACTTCGCCTGGGCCACCCGCATCGCGCAGCGCTGGAAGCAGACCATCATGTCCGACGGCGGCGGCGACCCGCTGTTGTCGCCGCTCCAGGTGTGCGAGCACGAGAGCATCGAGTTCGAGCAGAAGAAGTCCACCGACGCGCTCATGATCCGCCTCAAGCGCGAGCTCTACGACGACGTGCTCGCCTTCCAGCGCCGCTCCTTCGCCGCCGAGACGCTCCCCGAGCTCCTCCGCATGCGCTCCCGCTGGCCCTCGTCGCCGCCGTCCGACGAGGCGGGCCGGCCGCGGGTCACCGTCATCCTCAACCACTTCAAGCGCCGCACGCTGTGCGCGCAGCTCGACACGCTGCGGCGGCAGACGCTGCCGTTCCACCGCGCCTGGGTGCTCGCCTTCGGGAGCCCCAACGAGGCCTCGCTCCGGCGCATCGTCGAGAGCTACAACGACTCCCGCGTCAGCTTCGTCGCCTCCGGCTACGACTTCAAGTACTACGGCCGCTTCCAGATGGCGCTGCAGGCCGAGTCCGACTTCGTCTACGTCCTCGACGACGACATGATACCCGGCACCCGCATGCTCGAGATCCTCTGCCACGTCGCCGGCACCGACAAGTACCGCAACGCCGTGCTCGGCAGCATCGGCCGCATCCTCCCCTTCCGGGCCAAGGACTTCACCTTCCCGAGCTACCGCAAGTTCCGCTCCCGGGAGGCCGGCCTCTACCTCCCCGACCCGGCCTACGACATCACCGTCGACCGCATCGTGCAGGTCGACTTCCTCTCCAGCTCATGGTTCCTCGCCACGGAGCTCGTCAAGACGCTCTTCATCGAGACGCCCTTCACCTTCATGACCGGCGAGGACCTCCACCTCAGCTACCAGCTGCAGAAGTACATGGGCGCCGGCTCCTTCGTGCTCCCCGTCGACCCCAAAGACAAGGAGACGTGGGGGGACAGCGAGCACCGTCTGGCCTACGTCTCCGAGACGACGGTCATCTTTAAGGACATCGTGACCGTGCGGGACGAGCAGTGGTGGCGCGCGCTCACCTCCGGCTACGTCACCCAGTGGGCGGCCATGAACCCGCAGAAGGTGGACGCGCTCTTCTACGCGCACTCCCTCGGCGAGGTCAGGGCGCTGGCGCCGCTGCTCGAGAAGTTCCGCACCACCGCCGGCCGGAAGGCGTACCTCGTCGTGTCCGGAGGCGGGCACTGCCCCTGCGAGGAGGCCGCGGCCGTGCTCAAGTGGCCCAAGGTGGTGTGCAAGGAGCGGCGGTTCAAGGTGTTCGACTTGGCCCTCGGTGCGCTCTCCGGCCCGTCCCATTCCGAGGTGCCCGTGCTGCAGGCCGTCTACTCCAGCATGCGCGGCCTCGTCCGGATGCACAACCCCAGCGTCATCGTCGCCGTGGCCGACGTCGACGGTAAGGTCAAGGACGCGCTCCGCATGGCCGCCGAAGCCGCCGTCAACCAAACCGCACTCGTCCTCCTCCCCAGAAAGACCATCCCCAAGGTGCTCTGGATGGCCACCCTCCGCCCTGCCTCACTCCCAAGTAAGTACTCTCTCCGTCTTGTTTTATCTCCTCGTTGTATAAGATTTGTCTGAATTCAAACTTCATAAAATTTGAATAAATTTATTTTATTAAAAACATGAACACCTACAATATTTAAGGTATATATAATAAGAACACCAATTCCATAATGCATCTAATAATATTGATTTAACATCATAAATATTAATATTGATTTAACATCGTAAATATTAATATATTTTTCCTATAAACATGGTCATATTTTTTATTGGAACAAAAACATGGTCATATTTATGAAATTTGACTTCAGACAAATCTTATAACACATCAAACTCCCTCTTTCTCATCGTCGTACCAATCATCTTCTACAAACATCTTGTATACAACCACTTACGTTGCAGACTGGAACAAGATGAGGATTTCGGTGAACATCATCACGCAGACGCGCGCGGGGTCCCTGGGGCGGCTGCTGAGCTCGCTGAAGAACGCCTACTACCTCGGCGACGAGGTGCCCATCAGCTTCAACATGGACAGCAAGGTGGACGCGGCGACGCTCAACGCGGTGAACGCCTTCGCCTGGCCGCACGGTGGCAAGACGCTACGCCGCCGCATCATCCAGGGCGGCCTCATCCGCGCCGTCAGCGAGAGCTGGTACCCGGCCTCCGACGACGACTACGGCCTCCTCCTCGAGGACGACATCGAGGTGTCCCCCTACTACTACCTCTGGGTCAAGTACGCGCTGCTCGCCTACCGCTACGACCCCACCGTCTCCCTCCCGGAGCTCTCCTCCATCTCCCTCTACACGCCCCGCCTCGTCGAGGTCACCAAGGAGCGGCCGCGCTGGAACGCCACCGCCTTCTTCGGCGCCACCAAGCACGGCGCCAACACCCCCTACCTCCACCAGCTCCCCTGCAGCTGGGGCGCCGTCTTCTTCCCCAAGCACTGGCGCGAGTTCTACGCCTACATGGCCGCGCGCTTCACCGAGGACGCCAAGACCAACCCCGTGCAGATCCCGAGGTCGCGCACCAACGGCTGGCAGGCGTCCTGGAAGAAGTTCCTCATCGACATGATGTACCTGCGCGGCTACGTCAGCCTCTACCCCAACTTCCCCAACCAGACCAGCTTCTCCACCAACCACATGGAGCCCGGCGCCCACATCAGCGCCAAGGACAACAAGCTCAAGCACGACAAGGGCGACTTCGAGGTCCCGCTCGTCGCCGACGACTTCGCGCCGCTGCTGCCGGCCGGCAAGATGCCGCCCGCGTCCAAGCTGCCCGTGCTCAACCTCTTCAACCAGCCCGTGTCCATCAAGGGGCTCAAGGCCGCCGGGGCCAAGCTCCGGCAGGACGTCCTCAGCTGCGTCGCCACCCAGCTCGTCTCCGTTGACCACGTCACCGGCTTGCCCAAAAACTGCACCGCCTTCTGAGTTCTGTGATCGAGCTTCCCTCCTTCGACCCCATTGCATAGCATAAACTATGGGCTGCACCGCATTCGCATGCATCCTCATCAGTCTCATCAAATTTATCTTCGTTTGGTCGATCGGCAGGCCCTATGTGCTGCATGCACATGTTGGTGTATTAATTCTTTTCGGTGCGCTCTACAATGAAGACATAGAGTCGTGCCAGCAACTTCTTTTTGATAATCTTGGTGTTTTAATTCTAGCTCTTTGGACTTCAAAAAAGAAAATTCTCGCACTTTGCTTGTTGATCTTTTGACGAGAATAGCAGGAGCTCTGCCTTTGCATTGTAAGTAAGAGGGGGTCAGAACGTACAACATGTTGCCACCATGAGAGGTTGGCAGGAAAAAACAAACACACACGCTGTAAACATCCACACACTCTGGCATGTATTTCGAATATAGTTATAACATAGGGTGACACAGAACTAGCTCCAGTTCATCAATGTAATGTAGGCATGTATTTCGAATATAGTCATACGTGCTTATAAAAAAGAACTTGCATGACATCTTTTGTCCTACCCTCCCATGGCAGCGGGGTCCTAGTGAAAACTAAGGAATATTAAGGCATCCTTTTAATAGAGAACCGAACCAAAGCATTAACACATAGTGAATACATGAACTCCTCAAACTACGGTCATCACTGAGAAGTATCCCGATTATTGTCACTTCGGGGTTGTCCGATCATAACACATAATAGGTGACTATAGACTTGCAAGAAAGGATCAAGAACTCTCATATATTCATGAAAAGGTAATAGGTTCAGATCTGAAATCATGACACTTGGGCCCTAGTGACAAGTATTAAGCATAGCAAAGTCATAGCAACATCAATCTCAAAACATAGTGGATAATAGTGATTAAACCCTAACAAAATTAACTTGATTACATGGTAAATCTCATCCAACCCATCACCGTCCAGCAAGCCTATGATGGAATTACTCACGCACGACGGTGAGCATCATGAAATTGGTGATGGAGGATGCTTGATGATGACGACGTCGATGAATCCCCCTCTTCGGAGCCCCGAACGGACTCCAGATCAGCCCTCCCGAGAGAGATTAGGGCTTGGCGGCGGCTCCGTATCGTAAAACTTGATGAAACTTTCTCTCTAATTTTTTTTCTCCACAAAACGGAATATATAGAGTTGGAGTTGAGGTCGGTGGAGCATCAGGGGGCACACGAGACAGGGGGACGCGCCTAGGGGGAGGGGGTGCACCCCCACCCTCGTGGACAGGGTGTGGCCCCCCTAGCCTTGATTCTTTCGCCAGTATTTTTTATATTTTTCAAAAGTTATCTCCGTGGATTTTCAGGTCATTCCGATAACTTTTGTTTTCTGCACAATAAACAACACCATGGCAGTTCTGCTGAAAACAATGTCAGTCCGGGTTAGTTACATTCAAATCATGCAAGTTAGAGTCTAAAACAAGGGCAAAAGTGTTTGAAATAGTAGATACATTGGAGACGTATCAACTCCCCCAAGCTTAAGCATTTGCTTGTCCACAAGCAATTCAGTTGGCAAACTGAAAGTGATAAAGAAAAACTTTTACAAACTCTGTTTGCTCTTGTTGTTGTAAATATGTAAAGCCAACATTCAAGTTATCAGCAAAGATTATGAACTAACCATATTCACAATAACACTTAGGTCTCATATTTACTCATATCAATGGCATAATCAACTAGCGAGCAATAATAATAAATCTCGGATGACAACACTTTCTCAAAACAATCATAATATGATATAACAAGATGGTATCTCGCTAGCCCTTTCCGAGACCGCAAAACATAAATGCAGAGAACCTTTAAAGATCAAAGACTGACTAAACATTGCAATTCATGGTAAAAGACATCCAGTTCCGCTGCAGACGTGGACGATACACCTTGCGGATGTCAGAGGGTGCCATTCTAGCTCTTTGGACTTCAAAAAAAGGAAAATTCTAGCTCTTTGCTTGTTGATTCTTGCTATTTGCTACATCTTTCTACTTACTTGTCATTTGCATGCTACGCAACAAATTTGAATTTAATTTGATAATCCCTTATTCATCCCCTAGTAATTAGACATTGATCTTTCATGGTGCAACGGAGGGGTGTAGAGCATCTGCATCGACAAAGCCTCAAAGAAGTCGTAGATCATTAGAGGAGGGTCACCTTTTTTCCTGAAAAAGAGGTTGAAATCACTAGCCTCTGCATCATTGTAACGCACATATCCATTTTTATTAATTATTAAGCAAAGTGCACAACAAAGTCAATTTGAACAAAACTACAAGATATGAAATTAACATGCTCGTTTCCAAACCACACCGTGCAGATCTCCGTTATATTCATGCATGCATGGGTTTCAAACATCAGGATCTCTTATTCAAATATTTAAATTCAACTTTACATTGATTATGACCTCACGTATTCTTTTACACGCACACAGTAGTCTTCTCTTTATAATTATACCACTAACTTTCTTTCGTGCATGCATGCACACACACTACCAGCGGCATTATCTATCGCATGCATGCAATCTTTTTCTTCAGGTCGGTCTCCCATGAAGCCACACACCCACACACATCCCCCTATCCATCATACCGGGCGTTCTTTATCTCTCACGCGTGCATGCGCAACGATTGATATTCCTCTATGTATGTGTGTATATAGCTAGGTCTTTCATAGTTTTCCATACAAACCGATCAATCGATATATCCAGTGAGGTCTCACCCTCTTTCCCACGTCCACATCGATCAATCTATACCTCTCTATATAGGATTAACATAAATAGCTAATACACCCACAATAATTATATATCCAACGTCCCCCTCTCATCATCCATGCCTTCCGCTTCATCTCTCAGACGCATGCACAATGGCGAAGACAGGGGGCAGTAAGGGCCCTGCCCCCCCCCCCCTAACATCACTATATATCGAGGCTAATATGAATGTGATCATTAGACAATTGCTGCTAAAAAAGGTTTAATTTCATGAATTGACCCTCCTCGTAAAGGATTAGCAATGCTTGGCCCCCTAGCTCATTTATTTTTCATGGCTCCGCCACTGCGTGCAACAGCGCACGTGTTCGCGCCCTCTCTCTAAATATCGATCTCGCACTTGTGCATTCCTTCATAGTCTCCCTCCACTCGGCCCCTCGCACCATCTTCTAGCCCCCCACCGAATTTTGCCACATGTACAATCTAGCAGACTGCATGGTTGAACTTAAACATAATGCACAAACCTCAAAACAATAGCGGTTCTCTTTTGTTCTAGAATCTTCCGTATCATAACTGCCCAAACTTTTTTTCTAGTTGAATTGCCATTATTTGTTTTTTACTTTATGCTTTACAACGCACAATTCCATGCATGCTAATCACTCTCTTCCAATTTATCTTCGTTTGGTCGATCGGCAGGCCCTGCATGCTGTGCACCTGTTGATGTATTGATTCTTTCTTTCGATGCGCTCTACAATGAAGACATAGAGTCGCGCCAACAACTTGAACTTTTTGATAATCTTGGTGTTTTAATTCTAGCTCTTTGGACATCAAAGATGAAAATTCTAGCTCTTTGCTTGTTGATTCTTGCTATTTGCTACATCTTGCTACTTGTCGTTTGCATGCTACGCAACAAATCTGAATTTATTTTGATAATCTCTTATCCATCCCCTAGTAGTTAGACATGATCTGTCAACCGAGGGAGTACTCCCTCCGCCCTCCCCCCCATAATATAAGAGACGGAGGGAGTACGTCTGATCTTAAATGTAAAACGCTTTTGTTGAATAGAGGATGTATTCGGTTTCATATTTTCTCTTCGTTTTTGTTTATCCACGAGAAAAAAATAGAAAAATAAGAAGGAAAAAGCAAGTCCAAAGTCGAAAGAAGATTATTTATTTTTTTGCCTGTCGCTCCTCTGACTCTCAAGTACGAGAGCGAGGCAGCCGAGTCAGGGAACAGGCCGCGCGAGGACAGGAAGCTGCCGCGGAGCGCAAGACCGCGCCGGCTAAGGTCGACGTCCGGCGGCCACGCTTCCGCCTTGCGCGGCCCACGGCCATCGTCACGACGCGCAGGGCAGCCCCATTCCCAAATTGACGCCAGAGTGAGTACCTAGGGTTTGCTGTCTTCTTTTCAGTCCTGTCATTCCCGTGTTAAATACCAAAATTACCGTATCGATTTTGTACAATTTTTGCTTCAAATTTGATTCAACCGGGATTAATCGGACTTGTCGTCTCGGTCCCAAAAGATTGGGCTTCGTTGCAATCTCTACTAGTACTACTAGTACTATAGTAGATCCAAACTTGACACATCATACATGAATGTTAGCTAGTTAGCAGGAGGCAGATTGAGAGATTTCTGATTACAAAGGAAGAAACTTCCAACACCAATGAAGAGATTTTCCCCGGCAAAAGAAAAAAAGCAGAGATTTCAGCTGGAAATATTGATTACTGTCCGCCCAACACAGTTTGTGTGGGGGAGGCCAAGTTGCTTTGGCATTGATGAAAGCAATAGGAAAACATAGCTATCAGCCCTTTATCTCTGAAGAAAAGTTTGGTTTGACACAACAGCTCAGGGCCTTTAACATCAATACATAGTGAAATTAACATAAGAAGATTCAGCAATTAGCTATCTAGATTTTCCAATGAAGAAAGATCCAAAACGAAAATAGCTGCGACAGAAATCTGAATTCATTTTATCGGAACTGCTGTAGACTTGCAGCTCTCAGCTGTTCACAGAGAAAAATGCTTCTTTTACAGCCATTACTTCGCTGTAAATTTCATGCATGCTTGGGCGATCTTTTGGTGACTCGACGGAGCATAACAGCCCAAGTTTAAGGAGTTGCAGAGCGCAGATATGCATCACTGTAGTTGGCTTGTATTCTTCTATTTTGGGGGTAACAGTATGCTGATCTCCAGTTTTTGGCATAAGGCTGGGGTGAAGAATGTGTTCAATCTCTGAAAGTGATGCATCCACATACTTCTGGAGTGTAAGGCCATCACTGAA